GGAAGACAAAAAGGGATTTGGGGAACAGGCATTCTTCTTAGCACACCTCAAATCACAACATGGAAGCAACAACCCAAGTAACCTACACAAAGGGACAACCCCATCTTAGGCCCCAAATGTTTTCACTAGCCAAGAAATTTGGGGAGGGGAAGCAGAATGGTAAGGAAGAGGAATTTTTTGCTGGGAACAGTATCAATCAGGAGCTCCTCAGCCAAACTCTGTCAATCCCCAGGTGACTGACTTAAGCACCATGTAGCAGTCCAGTTGGCACCACCTCTGAGCCAAGTAATAAAAGCATTTGTACAATATTTAACATTTAGCAAGAGGAGATGATGATTTATGTAGAGGGTAGGATATTGGATTTTGACAGCTAATTAACAATGCTAAAGTTAATGGAAAGAGCCCAGATATGTTCGATAAACACATAAATCCCCTCAAGCAATGGGGTGGTGATGGCCTTCTTTAAAAAAATATATATTTGAAGAGAAGTTAACTGGAATGGAATTAGCCCCTTGAGTCCTCACGAAGTGACAAATTAATAGCTGTACTTTGGCCATAGATGCTTGCTTACCCTGTGTGCGTAAATGGTCGTGTGTGTAAGTGTTTAGGAGAGTACGGTGACAGAGACCTCACCCAGAAGCTTCAATATGAGGTTAACTCAAAAGCCATCGCTATTCAAGAGGGGAGGGGAGGAAGTGAGCATTTATATAGCACCTACTATGTGCCAGGCACTGTGCTAAGTGCTTTTTACAAATAATATCTATTTCACCAAGAGAATCAAAGTTACTATACTTATGGTTCTTGTACTTTTTTTTAATCTGGACCGTAATTTTATTGATGTAGGAAACTCCCAGAGAGAAAACTCCTCTGCTACTACTACTAACTAGCTAGGATTTATATAGGACTTTAAGGTTTGCAAAGCACTTTACAAATATTACATCACTTGATTCTCAAAAAAGTCCTTGGAGGTAGGTGCTATTATTATCTCCATTTTACCGATGAGGAAATTGAGGCAAACAGAGATTAAATGATTTACCTAAGGTTACACAACTAATAAGTGTCTGAAGCTGGATTTGAATTCAAGTTTTCCTGACCCCAGGTCCAGCTATTTATCTACTGTGACACCTAGCTGCTGGATTGCAATGATCTTGTGCTGAGAAGCGAAGTAATTTGCACAGGACTACACAGTTACTATAGATGAGAAATGTGACTAGAACTCAAGTTTACTGACTCTGAGGGGATCCATTTACTACACCACGCTGCGTCTTTATTTGTACATTTGTATTTCCTAGTTTGGGGAAAGAGTAATATCAATCAATCAGTAAACAAAAGGCACCATACTGGGACTGGGTTTTTTTTTTTAATCAAAAGCAGTCCCTGCCCTCAAGAAACTTACATTCTATAATAGATATGTTTATACACATCATATGTGTATACATAGATTACATATATAAACAGTATCTATACATATACAGAATGGGCATATATACTCATGTATACATGATAGACACACACGTGTGCCCACGTGCATATGTATACATGTGTGCATGATATGCATGTGTGTATAAGACATGTATACTGTGCATATAGTGTGAGTATATAATGTATGCACAAATTCATATATGCATATGTGTGTACATAATATATATTGTGCATGTGTGTATGCATACATGGCCTATAATATTCATGTAGGCAAAATATGTATACATAATGTACATGTCTGTATGTATATACACACATGCACAAGTAACATGCATGTATAAATGATACATGAATACTCAAAACAGATACAGATGGACATTGGAGAGGAGGCTCTACCAGCCAGGAGATCAGGAAAGGATTCAGATGGAAGGCAGCGTTAGCTGAGCCTTGAAGCAAATTCTGAGAAATTCTAAGATGTAGGTGAGGAGGAAAAGCATTCCAGGCATGGGGGCAGGAGGTGGCCTGTCATGTATGAAGAACAGTAAAAAGGCCAGTTGGGCTGGAACTTAGGGTGCTTGGGTAGGAATAATGTTTGATAAGGCTAGAAAGGTAGGTTGGGGCCAGATTATAAAGGGCTTTAAATGCCGAGTGGAGATGCTTGTATTTGATTCTAGAGGTGATAGAGTTAGTGGAATTTGTGAAGTAGAGAAGTGACATGGTTCAACCTATAATTTAAGATAACAAAGTTGGCAACTGCATGAAGAATGCTTTAGAGTGAAGGGAGACTTGAGATATAAATCTGAATCAAAATCCAGGTTCAAATCCTGACTAAGCCATTTTCTAGTGGTGTAACCCTCCATAAATCATTCAAACTCTCACATCCTCAGTTCCTCCACTGTAAAAGGGGATAATAACAGTTGGCACTAGCCACCTCCCAGGATTTTGTGAGGATCAAAGAAGATCATACATGTATGAACATCAGCAGTCATTAAGAGAGGCCACAGTACTGCAGTCTTTTTCCTTCTACACTAAGTATAAAGATCTAAATGGATAGTTTGTTTCTCTGTTCTCAGACTCCTGCAGGACTCCATGGTTAAGAGGCTAAACCTTTCTAGGATTTAATCTGGAGGTGGAGTCCATAGGAGTTAAAACAAAGGAAAAAAACTGACCAGAAAAGTCAGCATGGTGTTATGGAAGATTGCTAAGCCAATAGATAAAGGCCCTGAATTCTAATCCCAAACCTCTATGTGACTCTGAATAGGTCACTTGTCCAAAGCTTCAGTTTCCTCATCTGTAAAATGAGATGGTTGGACAAGATAATCTCCATGGTCCTCTGCAGTTCTCATATTCTATTAATTGATTAAGCCACTGACTGAAGTGAGCTTATAAAGCACTGTTTGTGGGGACTCATGTTCCTACAGAAATGATCTTACAGAGGATTCAACCAGCAGCTTATGCCCATGAGCTCTATAAAAATGTTCAGTCTAAAAAGGGAAGGCGGGTGAAATGTAAATATGTTGGCTCTCCCAGCTTCATCAAAGGGCTTTTCTGGCAGCCTTCAACAGCAGGTAAGATAGTACTATGGCTAAATTTAACATTTATTTAGCCTGGCCTACTGTGTACAGAGCACAAGTTTAGCCCATTGGACAGCTACAGTAAATCAAAGTTGGATTAGGTCATGAGCAAGTTTAACAAGCAACAACCTCTCTCAGATTGTTTCCTCTTTCATTTTTAGCAGATTCAATTCCTGGTCCATCTCACCATTTAGGCATCCCCCTGGCCCCTTGTTGGAGCACAGAGGTAGTTCTCTGCCAGCCTCCAGTTGTTTTCCACGTACTATCTAATTAGTAGGAAGGAACCATCAGCCCCACACTGAGGCCCTGTCACTTAACTGGCAAAGTCAGCCTAAACCCTCCCCTCTAGACCAAAGAACAATGGCAGTGTGCCACCCACTATATCAGGGGCCATGCTTTGGAGTCAATTACTGGTACAAACACAGATGAGGACGTATTTCTCAGGCATTTGCTCAGGGGGGCTGCTATGTTGCTGCCGGGTTCCATTTTCCTCATGCAACCTGCATTTCCCAAAGTAAGAGGCTCTAATGTGAGCGCTGGCAGAAAGGCCATTGTCCAGAGTTCACACTTGTTTGGGGAATGAAGGAACTGCTGATCTACAAATGGTTAAATCTCTGCTATTACTTTTTGAGACAACACACGTTGTTGGCATAGTCAATAATAACTCTTGAATAGAAGGTAATGCCATTTGAAAAAATTGACACAAAGTGCAAAATTTTGGCTCTGCTCCTTTGCCCACTAGTTGCTTAAACCTACAAAAAAAATGAATTTTAGGTCCTGTTTAGATAATAGCAAACCAAGATTTTAGAAAAGAATGAATGAGAACAGATGTTAGTTCCAAACATGGCAGCAAGCTCTGCCTGAAGAGAACATTGGGCTGCCTTTCATGAGAGTGTTCTGCTTTGCTGAAATGGGGAGGATTCCAAATTAAACTCTCCTGATGGGCCAAAATGGACCTAGAAAGGATATTAAAGATAAGGCAGTGTGATGAACTGACAGCCAAGCAGTGTAGCACAGCGTGACTAAGAGTCACCTTTCAATAACAATTGGTGTTTTAACCCAAAACACAAATTGAAAAAATGTCAACGCCCTTTATGTGTGGGCACTGCATAATGACTACAAGCATTCACTGGCCCTGGGTCCAGGGGAGAGAAGTGGAGACTTCCCTCTGATTTTCAAAGTCCCTGGTCTATCTATACTTCTCAGTTCAAATTTGGTAGTTGATTTTATTACACTCACAGGAAAGAGAAGGTGAGAGTCACATAAGGGAATACCAGACCTTTGATTTCATTGATACAGGGAACTCCTGATAAAGAAACTTCTACCTATACAGGTCCATATCTATTTGGCAACTTAGAGTCTCAGGGAGTTGTCTGAAACACTGAGAGGGAGGTTAAGGGATGACCCCAGGGTCCCCAGGCATCATATGTCAGAAGTAGGACTCGAACCCAGGTCTCCCTGACTCTGGCTCCATATCAGGGGTGGGGAACCTGCGGCCTCAAAGCCACATGTGGCCTTCTAGGTCCTTGAGTGTGGCCTTTTGACTGAGTCCAGGTTTTACAGAACAAATCCTTTAATTGAAGGGATTTCTTCCCTGTGAAGTTTGGATTCAGTCAAAGGGCTGCACTTGAGGACCTATAGGGCCACATATGGCATTGAGGCCACACATTCCCCACCCCTGCTCCATGTCATAATATCACGACATATCATCATAACCCCATTCACTCCTAGACACAGGTATTTTAATTAAAACAAGGAAACTGCACATTCACAAAATAAATGTAAGGCATAGTAACCATTTTTCTATTCCCTTGTATTTGAATAACACTCAGGGTTGGGGGAACTGGGGACATAACCATGTGAGGGGGGAGTGGGGAGGGAGGTATATGATGAAAAGTGAATCCTTTCACACCAGGCAATCATGAACCCAGGGTTCATCTCCCTGCTGCTTCCTGCCTTCTTTTTTCTTCTCCATGGCCAACTCTCTGTCCCTCTCCTCCCCAGGGTGAATGCTCCCCCAAATGCCACAACCTCTTTGTGCTGGAGACTGTCTGCGTGGCCTGGTTCTCCTTTGAGTTCCTCCTCCGTTCAATTCAGGCTGAGAGCAAGTGCGCCTTCCTCCGGACACCACTCAACATCATTGACATCTTGGCCATCCTGCCTTTCTACATCTCTCTTATTGTGGATCTGGCTTCTTCCCGAAATAGCAAGCCAGGTGGGACTGGGAATAAATACCTGGAGCGAGTGGGACTTGTGCTGCGTTTCCTTCGAGCTCTGCGCATCCTGTATGTCATGCGGCTGGCCCGCCACTCCCTGGGCCTCCAGACCCTGGGGCTGACTGTGCGCCGCTGCACCCGTGAATTTGGGCTTCTTCTCCTCTTCCTCTGTGTGGCTATGGCCCTCTTCTCCCCATTGGTTTACCTGGCAGAGAGTGAACTTGGAGCTGGGAAGGAGTTCACCAGCATCCCTACCAGCTACTGGTGGGCAGTCATCTCCATGACTACTGTGGGTTATGGAGACATGGTACCCCGGAGCATTCCTGGGCAGGTGGTGGCTCTCAGCAGTATCCTCAGTGGCATCCTACTGATGGCCTTCCCAGTCACCTCCATCTTTCATACCTTCTCTCGTTCCTACACCGAGCTAAAAGAACAGCAGCACCGGGCCTCGAATCACGACATGAACCTCTTGGAAGAGAGCACCAGGTCCCACACGGAAGACAGTTCTTCTCAGACAATGGATAGCTCCTTCCTACCTGGGGGGCCTGCAGCCGCCGCTGCCCTGGAGCAACAGTGGGCACTAGCAAATCATGCCTCCAGAAGGAGCTGCTGATGGAAAAGCCATATAGGGCATGGCCAAGCCAGCCCCCAAAGCAATGGGAAAAGAGGAGCCATTTCTTCCTCAGCCTCTAAGACTACACAGTCGGCACTGTGTATAAATTAGCCTGTGGACAAGGGAGACAGGAGAGAGAAATAGAGCTAGGGAAGCTCATTTTGAAAAACAAGGTATTTTCTGAGCTTTGTTTCAGGGCCAACATGTATCCAGCTCCACTGTATATAAGCTTTTCAGTTAAGTCACCCTAAGATGAAATGTGGACTGGAACCCTTTGTGGACTTGGCCCCAAGACCAGGAAAATGCAACCCCTCTCTACTACCTTCAAAAATAAGGCTGAGCCACTTAGACAAAGCCCTTTCCTAACACCACCAGATAAAGGGGAGAGGGGGATGGGGGAGAGTCAGGCTTCAGAAACACAACCACCTGCTGACAGGTCTGAGCCTGACTCTTGGTAGTTATGCATAAATTTAGTAAACATGCATATCACTCTAATGAGCTCTAGCTGCAGTGGAACCCAGCCTATCCAGGCAGACACCCAACCTCTCAGCAGCTGGCCTTCTTAATGAGAAGGTGGAATGTCAAAGACAGGCCTGGGCTTTGAGAGGAAACAGTCTTTCTAAAAGCAGATCATGGGCCTTGTTCTCTTCCTACTTCCATTAAAAAAAAATTCTGTAACTCCCTAAAAATTAATTCCAAATGCCTTATGAAATTTAAGATTTTGATTCAAAACAGTCTGGACTAGCTTGACTTTCAGTTGTAGGTACTTTTCTTCTTGCAGACACATTGTTCTTAAACCAAGATGGCCACCTCATTTTCTGCTTGGTCATTTAATTAGCACCTGCTTTTAGATGAGGGGGATAATACCCAGCCCTCTTACCTTGCCCAAATGGTAATAAATTCACATATACCCAAGGAGGACTTTACTAATTTCTCCTCTCCTCATGCCAAAAGTCCTCAACTCCAGGGTAGGAACCATTTAACCCATGGTTAAACCACAATCACCTCACTGACTCTCCAGGATACCCTGTCTTTCCCTCTTAATCATGGCCCTGCCACCCGTTAGTGGAGATTAAAGTAACTCAGGACCCCTAAGGAATCTTCAGATAGATTTCACTTGGTCTGTGACCTTGGGTTGAGAAAAAAAAATTATATCTTTATTTTCACTAACTTCTAACTAAAATTTAGCATTTCCCCTTATTATGACTGTAGGCAATGAATCATTATTCTTTGAGAGGGTCTATAGGTTTCACCAGACTGCCAAAAGTTATCCATGACACAAAAAAGGTTAAGAACCCAATTTAGATGATAGTGACATTATTAGCTCCCCCTTGCATGTAATGAGGAAATTGCTTTCTCCTCCACATCCTCTTCCCCCAAAAAACTGGACTATACCAAAACCTGCCACAGATGTACTGTGGTCAAAAGAAGAGTAGTTTCTCAGGTACCCAATTTATACTAATAAATTGGATCAGGACTGGCCTCTGACATAGGTGACCTTAGACAAGTCACTTAGCTCTCAGGGGCCCAGGAAATCCCTAAATTGCTGAAGAGTTCCTGATCTGCACTGATAGATGGAATTTCCTCACCAAGAATTCCTTATATCAATGACATCACAGGTTGAAGCCCCACCACCACAATGGTAGGCATGACATTGTGTGCTCAGATTGTCACCTCAGTCTCTCCAAATTCTCCCAGTACTTTGAATTCCTCTCTACCATCCCCCATACTGCTAAATCCACAGTTGGCAGGAGCAGCACTATCCCATAAGCATGAAACTTTTTGTTTTTTGTGGAAATAGAGAGAAATGGGAATTTCCAAGTCCTGCTGCTTTTAAATTTTTAATTAAGAACAAGTAAACCATAAAAGCCTGATGTCAGGCCATTCAACCATCAGCCCTTGTTACTGGGAACTGGAAGAATAAGCCTTCCTGGGCTCGGTCAGAAGAGACTGACCTATGTGCAGAAGAAAGGGCCATTGTCCCAAGCTGTCTTACAGTTCCAAGGCAGAATATGGGCCCTGCTGTCCTTCCCACTGGGCAGCCTGGTTTTAAGGCTACAAACATAGGCATACTCAGGGGCAAGCAGGGAGGAGGGTGGCTGATTGGGGTGGGGAGGGCCTGTTCAGAAACCTTGCTGCTACGATTTAATAAAAATGCCAGACCTCTTCTACACAGAACAGTGTCTGACTGAGTCTTTCCAGGGACAATGGCAAGGGTGGGAGGGGATCAGATTTGTGCTATTCAACCCCAGAAGGCAAAACAGGGACATAGTTAGACCTCTTTAGAAAGATTATTTTGGTAGCCGAGTGGAGAAGATAAATTGGAATGAGGAGAGACTTAGGTATACAAGACGTACCTGAAGGGTATTGCGATAATCCAACTATTACTGGCTTGCACCAGGGTGGCAGGTATGTGGGAACAAAGGGGCCATTTAGGAGAGATGTTGTGAAGGCAGAAACAACAAGGTCTGACGATGGGGATATGTGAGTGAGAGTGAAGAGTTGAGGATGATGTAGAGGATTTAAGCCTAGGTGACTAGGAGGATGGAGATACCCTTGATACTGATAGGGAAGTTCAGAAGAGAGGGTTTGGGGGAAAGACATGTTTTGGGTATGTTGAGTTTTAGATGTCTATGGGACATCCAGTTCAAGATGTCCATTATGCAATTGGAGATGTGAGGCTGGAGGTCAGAGCTGGATAAATAGATCTGAGAATCATCTGCCTAGTGATAAACGATAATTGGTATTCTCATTTTTGAGGTAGCAAAGATGAGCCTCTGATGTGCCCAAAGCTCATTAGAGGTGAGAAAGATATGTGAAATGGCCACGATCCAGACTCACTCTGGCTGCTCCCTCATGATGTTCTTGCCAATCATTAAAAAAAAAAATACAAAACCTGTCTTACATTTCCCAGAAGCTCTGGAACTCCATGCAACAGGGTGGAGTGGGAGGAGGAAGAGGTTAAGAGGAGAGAGAGCACTTGAGATCATCCACCACACAGAGAAGAGTGCTTAGCCTTGGCTCCAAGTGACAGAAGAGTAGAAAACAGCAGCTCCATAAGACCACTTTCCAGAATTAAAAATCTGAATGGATCTATCAATTGGATGAGAAGCAGGGTAATTTTTTTTAATTCCACCTGCCCCTTATTTTGTTTTACACTCTTAGCTTCTTCCTTTCTCTATGTTTCAACTTCTGAACCTTCTCAGGCACTCACATTACTATACCTCACTTCTCATGGGATGTCACCTTCATTTCACAGCTACCAACAACCCTTCTCAGATGAATGAAAATTCCAGGATCTAGAGAAATGTTAAAATAACATTTTTCTTATAAGTTAAAAGGAAAAATACCCTAGCACTATTGAAGTAAACAGTGGGGTTGATGAAGGGAAGGAGGGGGGCAGTTTGGGAAAGGAGAGTTCCAAGCTTTGGCATGCCATAGAAAAAACGGATGCTCTGTGATCATTAAGAAGCAAATGAACCAGCTGAATGTTCCTCTAGTGCCTGTCATCATAAAGGCCATAGCTACAAGGTGTTACATAAGCTGCATTCATATACCCTTGTGGAGTTACCCAGTTTGGCCCTGCTAAAGGCATATCCCATGAACAGCTGTGTCAGAAACTCAAGAACAATTAAGTGTATCTCTAACTTTTACATTAGAAGTGAGACATGAAGGAAGACATCTACTGTCATCGAATGTGGCATCAAGCCAAGCCTCATATGCTCAAAGGAAGGCACCCTCGGGCTCTTTTCCTCACTCTTCTTTTTCAGCTGAGATATTACCTGAGAGGTATGAATGTCTCCCAAAATGCCCTGCTCTCCCTCAACAAGAAAGTCTGTTCTATACATTCGGAAGCAAGCTTTATTATCCTATAAACAGAAATGAGTCACTATTCCTCTGATGCAGGGGAAAATGAGAGGAGGGAAATAGGGTAAGAGGGAACTTTCTGTTCTTAAGACAAGAAGCTGACCAGGTCAGATGAGATTGTTTCGTGTACCCCTCATCACTGGATTCCTTTAAATGATTTTCTACAGCCACAGAGTTCCCAATCTGGAAGCCTAACCCTCAGGACATGGTGGTAAGTGCAGAAGGTTATTTGTTTCTAAAGAAGTGGTGTGGAAAATGTCAAAGGAGTGAAACAGCAAAAGCTTAAACCTTGGAGAAGGAGAAAGGAGAAGGGAAGGTTGAACTGCCACAAGCCCAGTCCTTTATTTTACCTTGATGCTGCCCCTAATGAACTTATTTTTTTGTTTGTTTTTTGGGGGGTTTTTTGGTGAGGCAGTTGTGGTTAAGTGACTTGCCCAGGGTCACACAGCTAGTAAGTGTCAAGTGTCTGAGGTCAGATTTGAACTCAGGTTCTCCTACTCCGAGGCCGGTGCTCTATCCACTGCGCCACCTACCTGCCCCTCACTAATGGACTTATTAAATAGGGCTTAGGGCTCCTTAACCTGCATCTGAGGCTATGATGGAGGTGGCTAGAGGCTGGGTGGGGGTGAAGTGGTGGGGTTGAAGGGGAATTGGGATTGGAAGTGATTGTCTGAAGGGAACTGGTGACGGAGGATTGTTAATGTTTGGGTTGCATCTTAATGTAATAGGAAGAAAAATGGATTTGGAGGACTCGAGTTCAAATTCCTCTTCTATTTACTTACTTTAGGAAGATCACTTCATTTCTCTGGTCCTCAACTTGCTCACCTGCAAAATAAGGAAAGTGGACTAGAAACTACTCTCTCCAAAGTTACCCATAGTCTCTGAATCACCAAATCTAAAGGTCTTTTCTCAGTCCTCATTCTTCTGAACCTCATTCTTCTGACCCTGGTCCAGGCCCTCAGCATTGCTTCATGGCCTGGACCATTGCAATAGTCTTCTGTTTGGTCTTCCTGACTCGATGCTCCCTACTCCAGTCCATCCTTCATTCAGCTGTCAAATTTATCTTTTTAAAGCATGATCTACCCATGTCACCTCTATTCAATAAACTCCAGTGACTCTAGGATCAAATATAAAATCCTCTTTGGCTTTTAAAACTCTTCATAACCCAATCCCTTTCCATCTTTCCAGTCTCCTTATATTTCATTCCCCTCCACATACTCCTGGATCCAGTGACGATGGTTTGCTTCCTGTTCCTCCCACCTGAAACTCCATTTCATTGGCTGTCCCTTATGCTTAGAATGCTCCCTGTCCTCACCTCTGTCTCCTCACTTCCTTCCTTCAAGTTCCAGCTAAAATCCCACCTTCTACAAGAAGGCTTTTTTGATCCTTCTTAATACCAGTGCCTTCCTTCCGTGATTATCTGCTTCATCCTGCTTTGGTTTTTGTTTTTTTTTTTAGTTTTATTTTTAGGCATTTTGGGGCTAAGTGACTTGCCCAGAGTCATATAGCTAGTAAGTATCAAGTGTTTGGTCTGAGGCCACATTTGAACTCAGGTCCTCCTGACTTCAGGGCCAGTGTTCTATCCACTGCGCCTAGCTGCCTCATTTTTTTTTTATATAGCCTGTTTATGTATAATTGTTTGCTTGTTGTCTCCTCCATTAGACTGTGAGCTACTTGACAGCAGAGACTTTACTGGGTTGTTTTTGTTGTAGACTTTATTTTTTCCCCCTCTCCATGTTTCAGTTTAGCACAGTGGTGGGCACAAGACAGACTCTTAATAAATGCTTGTTAACTTTACAATCTTTTTCAACCCTAAAACCTATGTTCTTCATCTTTTCGCTCTCCATCTTCAAATACTTGGGAAATTTAATAAAAATCTAGCTATGAAAATGCTTTCTCTTCCTAATTTGATTCAGTCCTCATCAGAGAAGAAAAAGCTGAGGTTAGCAGGACCCAGATGGCCCTTTGCCAATTCCATTTAGTCACAGATCCAACAGTTTGATGGGGAAGTTGATCACATACTTACCACCTTCTGCCCCAGGCCCAGACACTTAAAAACAGAGAAATCTTAAGCAATAAAGCTAGTTGAGCTCCATCTGACATTCTTTCCCCCTCAACCCCAAAGGAGAAAGTTCTTCTAGAAATACACCAGTAACTAATGATGAAGGCGTGTGAAGAGTGGTTCCTAATCATCACATATTTTACCCTGAAATAAATGGGGAAGATTTAAAGTATGACTCAAGAAATATATTAGAGGAAATTCCCTTCCTTTTGCTCTGGAAGATTTGTTTTGTTGGCTTTTTTTTTTAATCTACAAACATTATTTGCCCTTTGTTTTTTTTTTTTTCTTAATGTAAACTTTCCTTTCCAAAATAGAACATGAATAAGAACCTTTGCCCAAGTGCAACTTCACTTGGTAGGCCTCAGTATTCTCATTTGTACAATGAGGCTAGACTCACTAGATGGTCCCGGAAGACTCTTCCAGATGTCTCTGAATCAGAATTTGAGAATTGGATAGGACTCCATTGGCCATCTAATCTAATCCACTGTAACACATCCGACAAGCAGTCATCCAGCTGCTGCTTAAAGACTTCCAAGGAGAGGGAATACACCACCTTTAGAGTCATTTCCACTTTGGGACAGGTCTAAGTCTTAGGAAATTTTCCCTGAGGTCAAGCCCAAATTTCCCTCTTTACAACTTTCACTCATTGCTCCAGGTTCTGCTCTAGGAGGCCAAAGAGATCTAACAGCTGCTCCACATGATAGCCATCCTCTCTCTCAACCCCCATAGCCAATTAGAAACCAAGTCTTATAGTTTCTACCTTTGCAACATCTCTTGAACATGCTCCTCTCTCTCCAATACTAAGACCACCCTGGTTCAGATCCCTCATCACCTCATACTTGAACTACTGCAAGAGGCTCTTGGCTGGATTCCCTTCTCCCCACTCCAGTCTACTCTCTACTCATCTGTTAAATTAATCTTCCTAAAACACAGGCCTGAGCATAGCATTCCTCTATTCAGTAAACTGCAGTGGCTTCCTATCACCTCCAGGATCAAATATAAAATCCTGTTTAGCTTTTAAAGCCCTTCATAACCTGTGCCCCCACCCACCAATTTCCAGTCTTCTTTTACCTTATCTCCTCCACTACTCTGTGACCCAGTGATACTAGTCTCCTGGCAGTTCCTCAAACGAGACATTCCACTCTTGACTGGGCATTTTCACTGGCTATTTCCCACACATGGAATGCTCTCCCTCCTTAGTTCTATCCCCCGGCTCCTTGGCTCCAAGTTCCAGTTAAA